TAAAATTTTGAGGCATTTACAATAGTTTGTGCTAAAAATCAGTGCTACTTTGTGATATGCATCCAATTAATTATTATTATTACAATATCATTACACGAGAGGTTTTAGCGTACCTGGAAGTGTTTCTTTAATGTTTCTTATTTTTAGAAAGGTACACTATCTACTACTTACAAAAACAAACATTTGACTAACTGATATTACATATGATATTACATTCTACATAAGGTACCCATTTAACTTAAAGGCAGATTTAGAAGCAAAATTCATATGTAATCCTGTGACTGCTTGTATACAATAAGGTTATCACAACATCCAAATCACATGACATTCTATTTCACAAAAAGATATCGAGGACGTTAAGTGAGGCATGACTGTTATTTATAGGTTTTAACTACTTTTCCCTTTCCCCCCATCAGCATCTGCAACCCTGTGGTGATAGTGGCATTTAAAGAAGACACAGCAGGTGGTTAATAAATAGAAGCAGTTGAAAGGGATTTAAGCTAAAGCTTCATTGGATGGGAAAGCACTATTGCTTTAGCTTGAGAATGATCCTAAGTCAGAACAGCTGGAAATAGCCTCATTTAACCAGCTGTGATTCTTCTTCTCAAAATAGATCAGACAACCTGTGGGAACCATCTTTGATTTGCAATGATTAGAAGATTAGTTGGTCCTTCTTGTCTAAAATTAATTACTAAGACTAAAAATAATCATTTTAGCTCTACATAGATAATATGCTCCCAAATACAACGCTGGATAATTAAGACACCCACTCACTTTAATTATCCAATAGTTTTGAACACACAATCATAGGTTACATTAGGGTCTCTGCTAATCAGAAAAGAAAATGCATCGGGAAGGGAAGAGTGGGAGAGGGAAGAGAGAAGGGAAAGAAGCGGGTGAGATAATGACTCCAGATTTACTCCAAACTCCAGAACAGGCACAATGAATAAAACGGGATTTTAACAGTCTAAAATGCTCTGCATTTAACAAGTCAGCATTTTCAATAGTGGTTTCTTCTTGTAAGTCTAGAGTAAAGAAATATATTGATGGAGGATAAAAAGCCATATTTTAATTTCTGAGGACCTCCTAACGTTTCCCAAACTTCAGTGGAGAGCAGTAATTGATTCTCACTATGCCCAATTTTTAGCATCTCCATTTCCTTACTGACCCTGAACAACTCGAAATGGCATCTCCTCATTTATGACTAATATTGAGTCTATAAATCTGGGTAACATAGAATTGTCACGCTTAGAATGAAGCTAGCTAACATAAATAGACTCCAACAAATAATGCTACTGCACTGTTTGTTCCAATCTGAGTGCTATTACTTCCCCTGGGTCCCCAGATGCAGTTAATTGTCTCGTCCCTTAAATGCCTGCAAAAAGAGATGCATTACGTCTAACAAATATTGTCTTCTTTAGATGGGTCAGTGGAGCTGCTGCTTTTCCATCACCTGGTCCTTATTTGCATCCTTCAGAGGTATGCTAATTTGGAATTGAGCATCAGGCCCAATCTAACTATAAAGGGACCACCCCACACTATATTAAAAGGTTCACATCAATGTATGCAATTTAAATGCACATGCATATAATTAACTAGACACATTACCAGTGTGAGCTGCTAATTTGAAATGAGTCACAGAAGACTGGAATATGTGTAGAGGAAAAAACACCCCTTTAAAATTAAAATGAGTACATAATGAAAACTGCTTCATGCTGTGTCTACTATTTTCATGTAAACTTAATATAACTGTAAATATATTTTAATGAACAGTAGAAAGAGGCAATTACAAAGAGCAAAGGAGGGCAGCACAACAGTGAACCATCATCAGAATAGCTCTTTGCTCCCATATTAAAAGTGCTGCCTGACGACAGAGAATGAATTATAACTTCATAATTTCAGGGAAAAATTTTTCTTTCTATTTTAAAGACACACACCTATTTGCCAACCTGCTGGCAATGAAAAGAGAATGCTCAAGTGAACCAGGGGAGGGGAGGGCAAGTGGCTGCAGGAGGAATCCTAGCTGACAAAACTGAAAAGAGAGGGTATCCAAGCTTGACATTTTTCTTCTATTACTAAATTACCGTTTTCTTCTCTCACTAAAGCAGTTTTGTGTTCGCTTAACAATTTCCATAGAACATAAAGGAGCTCTAAGATATTCTTAAGCAACGAAAACCCTAATAGGTGTCATAACCAAAAATGGGTGGAAATGTACGAGACGTTTAACTTAAGAACTATCTATGTCTAGGCATAATGGAAGAATACACTTTGCAGCTATAAAATGAGTGTGATAAATTACATGACTCAAAAATTTTAGAACAATAATGTCAGATGCTTGACACTGATAGATTCTTGCTATTCGTATTATAATCTAGGTGGGACGTTAAGAAGCTAAAGCGTTGGGGGGGAATATTGCTGACTGTCTCCAAGGGTGAGCCTCTGAGGCCTTGAGGCTAGGGGAAGGGACCCTTTTTTTGCAAAGCAACAGAAAGAATCGGCCTGGGAGGTACCCCATGGACTCCGAGTCTAGAGAAGTATGCATTTTGCCAAATACATACTGCTTTCTTCCAAATATACCCAAAGGTAATTATTGCTAATTTCGGAAGAAGTATTTGTAAAAGATAAAGCCTGGTTGGTGGAGAAATCAGAGGCACTATAACTGTTTCTTTTTAAAAATGCACACATATTAAAAATATATTTGCACTGTATATTTAAAAGACCATACTTTTAAATGTCAAATAAAGCAATCTGGACTTCGTTAAAAGATCATGAATAATAAATAGCATCAACTACTGTCCTCGTTCTTTGGTTGTAACATCAAATAAGCAAACACACACGGAGTACCTGGAAATACAGGCTGCAAGGCAGGTATTTTAAAATGCATTTAGAATGACATTAGGATCTAATTACTCTTGAAGCCACAAATGGGCAAAACACAGTGCACTGCCTGCTTGAGGTGCATTGCCCAGCTCACACAGTTTTAAGATTTTCTCTCCAATCAGACTCAGTATTTATGTGCACTCCACATTCAGAGAAATGTGGAATTTTCAAGAAAAAGGGGCTTTCTAAGTCATGTATTTATAAGCCCATCACTAAAATTAAGCCAGGCTCAGATGGAGTGAGTAACTTACCTGAGGAGCTATGGCTACTTGGATTAATGGCTCTTTTCATTCTACCTTATTGCTTTTCAAGTAATAATTTCATCAAACTTTATTAAAACAATAAAAGTACCACTTTACTCAAACTTGCTATTTTCACTTCTACTCACATATTTCTTTGAAATTCTTTTTCTGTAAATTAGAAGTGTTTGGGTTACTATATTCTCTAGATTTAATTTACAACAGCATAATTAAAATTAGTAAGTATTTTTAAAGCCTTTGTAATGGCTTTGTTTTGATATACCCTTCACATGAGAAAAGTCTTGATTTATGTGACTTTTATAAAACAATTGGAACCACAGTAGTATTTAAGAAAAGTTATATTTTCTCCACGTATTTCCCTTAATCAAGAAGAAGCTAAGCCTGGTTTTAAGAGCTTGCATCCTTTCTAGCTGTTTGCTAATAATCCTACTCCAAAGATAAATATTACTAATTTCAGAAGCAGTAGTTTTAAAGCATAAAAATTAAAAAAAATTGTAGAGATTTTCCAAGTAATATTATAAAAACAAACTGTCACAGAAAATTATTGTAATCCAGATTTTTATTCACAAAAATTTATCAGTGAGCCAAAACTGGAATGTTGGTTTGCTTTCTTTATACTTGGTCATGTGAGTTGAATTCCTACGTGACTTATTCCCTTCACCAAATAACGTAAACCTATTAACAAATGCTTTGATAGTACTTGGTCCATGGAGATTTCCACTAATTGCCCTGTGCTTTTAACAGTTCCAGATACGTATTACAATTGTTTATTATAAAATGAACTGGAAAGCAGCAGCTGCGTGCCTGGATCAGGCTAAGGAATATTAGGATACACAAGAACAGTCTATGTGTCTAATGATGATAAGGGGGCAAGACCTTTTCAATGTCTTGTGAGACGCACCACAGAAGGCATTTGGCTTGCTGGATATATAACTGTAATTCTAGGTTATGTGTGTGTCAGGGTGGGGGAAGCAAACATGAAGCTGAGAATGCAAGTCTGTTTTCAGAGTTCGCTGATCTTTAAAAGGACAAGAATGAAAAAGAAAGAAATGAAAGGGAAGATCTCAAGCCGTAATTATGTTGTCTGCATTTGGGGGTAAACAAACAGATCTTATCTAGCCCTAGAACCTTCCACAGCATCTGCTCTAACTCTGGTATATGACAAACATTTAACAGATGTTTGCTGAGTTTTCACAAGCTGATATTAAACTCACAACACTGATTCAAATACATTCTCAAATTTCAGCAGTTCTGTGAGGAATAGAGAAGTTGTGCAGTAAGAAACAACTTCAGATTTGGAACCAGACAACCCAGGGTTCAACCCTGGTCTCCCACCCACCAGCTGTGCTATATTGAGCAAGTTACAAATCTTTCTGAGCTTCAAACTCCTTGTCGGTAAAATGGGTAAGATAGTAATACCTGACTTGCAGGGTCCTTAAGATAAAATGGAGGAGTGTAGCAGAGTGTTCAGGTAAATAAATGCTCCATGATTGGAGTGATCATACTCTTATGAGTGGAATCATCAACTTAAAAAAAAGAAGCATCAAAATATCCATTATCCAATTTTTGGTCTTTCTTTACAAGCCATCTCTACCTTCATACACCATCTTCTACAATAGACTTACGGTATGCTTAAGACAGTGTCCATGTTGATGGACAGCATACTATATAACACACTATACCAACTGTGAGGATAGCATAGTATAGCAATCTGTGACAATAAAAGTAATAAAACCATGTGATACCATGTTTCAAAAAAAGAAACTTTCTGCACACTTAATGCTTGCACAGATGCATGTCACACTTATGATACGTATTTTTCACACCCCCTATGTGCTACTACCAGCCCATTCTCCTTACCAGTAACTTCCAGTGGATGCAGGCATATTGCATCCGAAAAGTAACATATGATGGACAGTATCCATGCTGGCACGAGGTTTGAAGTCAACTGTAAGAAAACAATAGATGAATGTGGATTCAAGTTACACAAGTATATACAATGTACACAAAATCACAGGTGATCACATCTTTAAACAATAGGGTATCTGTACAACAAAGCTCTTTTAATGCTCTCATGGTAAAATGTTTCATTGTATTCAGTATCTCACTCCTTACCTTGAAAGGACTTATAGAGTACTAAGCTGTTATATCACTAAAGAAGACAATAATAATTACTGCATATACTCGCTTATAAGCTGACCCAAATATAGCCGCGGCATCTAATTTTAACACAAAAACTGCATTAAAAAGGTGCGGAAAAACTCAGCTTATACACCAGTATATATGTTAACAGCTGAATACTACATATCCATTTCTTTTTTAAATGAAAGACCCCATTTAAAGTGGTGAAAGCATTTTGTACGTATGAAGCTCCAGGCTATGAATTCTCACACATTCTCTTTTAGAGTTCCAAAGAGTACTAGAAAACACTGCACACCATTACAGAGAAACACAAGCCACAGCGAGCAGTCAAGACCTGAGTAAAACAGTGCACAACCAAGTTTATTACTATCTTAAAATAACAAGAGGAGTTACTGGAATGTGCACGAGGGAATGGTTTACTGAGAGAAATAAAAGTGGAAAATGTATGAGGAGGCTTAAAAAAGTTTGTGGAAAAATTGTATCTTGGTAAAACTTTTTTTAAAAGATCACACATTTTTTTGAAGCTCCTTTGTATCTTGACAAAAATAGAAAACACTTAAAAGTACTCTGTTGGTTGAACACTATGCACTTGTTAATCTTACACGGTGACATTTTTTCCTAACTCTCTGAATACTAATTGTGGTTGAAGATACAAAAATAAAAAAATAGTTCAGAGGTAAAATAAAGAGAAAATGTAAATGACACCATTACCCACGATCACTCCTAAGCTCCCTTTCCTGGTTTGGATTTTGCACATTCCCTTGGATCCTCATCAAAACCCTAGCCTGCCATTTAACAGCAGCTCATAATTTATCTGTGCACATAAATGTTAAATAGCCTACAACGATCTTAGCTGCCTGCAAAACTTCTTCTAGCTCTTTGGTCTGTCTGATACAATTAATATTGTGAACATGCCTATCCGACTATTTACACACTTTAAAATATGTCACATTGAACTACAGCTTATGACTTTGAGAAGGAAGCACAGGGTCCCTACTCTGCCATCTGAACAACTTTCATGGGAAATAAACCAAGTTCTTCACTCAATACTGAAAAGAAACCACAAAAAGGTAAAGTCTAAGAATTCAATCTCGAGCTTTTCATAACATTGATTTTAAAACCACCAAAGAGAAGATGGCTAGAAAAGGGAATTGCTATAACTTGAGGCTTTGTTTCTATTGGCAAAGCAAGTAGAAAGCATAAGTGAGAGAAGACACTTTGGAAGAAAAGAGTCAACTGGAAGTTACAACTGTTTGACAAATCATAGAAAACCATATTGTTGTAGCCTAAATATGCTAGAAAGAAAAATGGAAGAAATGGATTTTATCTTTTCTCATTCGCCTGCAAGTTAAATGAAGGAAGTCCTTGTTTCCTTCCAGAGTGTCCCTAGGAGATCTTTGCTTCCAGAGGGGAAATCGCAAAGCCCTGAAGTGGGGATGTCAAGTCTTTATCTTAAATTTATTTTGGTTTATGATGTAACTTGTTACATTCATTTTTGCCAAATTCTTCCTATCAGTCTATGGTCTCATACAATGTTTTGGCTGACTGCATCCTGCTTTGTCCGTGAAAATATTTCTCTGCCGATCTTTGAAAGGATGTCCAAAAAAAGGCCCAACTCTTCGGCTTTATCTACACTTCTGGCTGTGAGCACAAGATTTTCCTCCTTAGATTATTTTAGATGGGTTATTTTTAAATTCCTAAAATTGAATCGGTCTACCATGCTGAGAAGTTTGGTACTAACACGAGCAACTCTAGTTTATTCCAAGGACGAATCTCCTAGGAGGCAAAGCAACGTTTCAGGTCTGAGCTCAAAATCCAGGCGGACACCTCATGGGATTGTTGGAATTATGCTACTTTTGATCAAGAAAAAGGGTAGAGAACTACAGATTGGTCAGCACTTAGATGTCTGTAAAGTGTTGAGTACTACACAACACTACAGAACATCACTCCAGAGAAACGAAGGCCCAGCAAGGGAAGCCCTCAGAGTGGACAAAACCACCAGAGGCGAAAAAAG